CTGGCACTCGAGGTTCGATCAATGATGGAACCGATTGCGATCTAATCTCAACTCATTTGTATGGACTCATTCGAAGTCCAACCTATATGTACACGTCGTTGGTATCTTGGGATGACAAGAAAAGATCTATTTTTCAGGATTGTTACAGTATTGATCATAAGTCACTTCCTCTCTCGCAAACAATTCCAATGTTTGAGAAGCTGAAAGTTGCTGTGATGGACCCCTGTAAACCTCTGGTAATGGCTGTGGCGACTTGTTTGCAAGCAAAATGTGGGATCGGGATCATTAGATACAGTGCGAGTAACAGCACGTATTCAAGAGCTACTTGAAAGTATCCATAACCGGCTTCCACAGCTGCCATTCTCCCACTGTCAATCATGCTGATGTGTACACAGTGAGGCTGACTTTCGGCGCAGCCTGTGTGGGTCAAGTTCAGAAAGATGAAGTGTGTTGCCAAGAGGAAGCAACATATGATCAATACTGTAACTGGTCGGAGCATTCTGCATTCTCGTTTTGTCGCAAACTTGGTAGCCTTTGGCTGTTCTGAGTGACGTGGCCAGCAAACTTTAGCGAAGGGTGCTTGCTGCACTCGCCTCAAGCTGAACCCGCCTCTTCCTTCCCGAATCAAGTAAATGTTTTTGGATTGTCTTAGTCGCAGAATTGATCATGCCAACAGCTGTTGGCTGATCTTTGGTCCCGCATGTACTGTAAAGTCAGTTGGAAGGGTGTTTTTCTTCTTCTTTCTTGCCGTCTTACTGTCCGCGAGGTTCGCCAGTGAATGGGGCATGCTAGCTTCTATGTAGATGTGTATAGTATTGATCATATGTTGCTTCCTCTTGGCAACACACTTCATCTTTTTGGACATGACCCACCCAGGCTGGGCCCATAGTCGTTCTTACTGTGTACATGCGACCACGATCAGATGTGCGAGAATGAATGCTGTGAAAGCCGGTTATGGATGCTTTGGAGTAGCTCTTGATTGCGCGTTGCCACTCGCACTGTCGCTCGCCATCCTGACCCATATTTTCGTTTGCAAACCAGTCGCTATAGCCATGACCAGAGATTTGTGGAGACCCATCACAGCAGGTTTCGGCTTCTCGAACATTGAGAATGTTTGTGAGAGAGGAAGCGACATTTGCACAAAACTGTACATAGACGCGCTACGTAGGCGAGATTGCTCGCACGGGACACGCATCTCTCGGAACCATTACTTGAGTTTCTGCAGTGTATCCTCCGAGCTGAATCTGAATCAGTGATTGCCAACCTGGGCCGCGACGCGCGACGTCGCAAAGTTGCGATATTCTTTTCGAATCTCATCAAAATGATAATTAAGCATACGTAGGATGAATTCGTACTGCAACACCAAGCCCACTTTTCGCGGCCTCTGCAATGTTGAGTCGGCACTGACGGATATCGGAAGCGTGTAAGAGCCAGAATCAGCGGAGCAACAATAATGGCACTGACTCTTATTAGAGGGTTAACCGTTTTGATCAGATATTGGATACAGCTGGATATCATGTCCGGCCATTGCGAAACCGCAGCATCTTTTCCTCACGTGTCGAATTGAGCGTCGTCCGCTCGTCAGCGAACTACATTGAAAGCCACTTTGAAAATGGTGAGCCAGATAGAGAATCGGCGCCGAGTGGTGGGTGACTGGGATTTCCTGCAACTGGCCCCCGCCACCCCTACGCAGAAGCCGACCCGCAGCCATGGGCTTTCATTCGACGGAGAGGCTACAGTACCCGTCAGGTCTGGTAAAATGACAGCTGATCTGTCCCGGCTCGTGTGCAAGGGTTGGTTAGTTGGTGAACAGTACTAGCATAGCCGTCTCGGGCTCCGCCGCCCGTCCTCAGAAGAGAAGAGAAAGACCACGCCGATTGTGGACGGGGTCGCCGTCAAGGGAAGCGAAAGCGAGAGCCAGAAGTTGCTGTCGGGTGCCGCTGTCGTAGGGCAAGACAACGCCGCGGACCCACCACTGGCCTCGAGTGGACAACAATGCGAAACGGACCATCTTGGAGCTAAACCCGCCACCGCAGGCACCGCAGGCATGCAGGGAGGCTTGGAAGATACTTTCTTCGACCGAGTCGACAGCGCCGACACCATCGACAACCAAGATGCCGATTCCGACATCGACGGTATACAAGTGGCCATGAGACGGACAGGTTTGATTCGATCAGGAATCAACTTCCGGCGGAAGGGTTGCGCATTGTGGGTGACGAAGCCGATTAAGGCTGGCTCAAGCTCCTGCCCGAAGTGGTGACGGAAAACGGGCCGTCGCCACCTGATTGGCCGGAGATGGGTCTGGCTCAAACCTTAAACAGCGGGAAAGGGGGCCAAGCGAAGAGATGCAAGGTGTGACAAAAGGGCATCAGACAATGTCGACTTTTCGAACTGGTGTCGAGTCATGTCTGGCGCGCGAGGCAGGTTTACTCGGGGGCCGAGACCGCGACAGAAGTCTACTCGCTCGATCTTGACGTTGCGTCCGGGCAGATCAGGAATGGCTGCGCACAAAGATCACAACAGACCCTAATAATGCACGGCAGCACGGGGCGAGGCGCTGGCTCAAACGGGATGCTATAAGGCTCGGAAAGACGATCGGGTACGTGTTTCGTGAGGGACTGACTGCCGGATTTGTGCTACTGTACTATACTGCTACGCAGAGTGCTACGCAGAGACGCCGCAGGACGACAAGGCGTACTGATTGTCGTGTATGTATCTCAAGAACAGTCATGCTACACCCACAAATGGCTGATGCAACGCAACGGAAAGCGCATTCAATGGCCCAAACCTGATGCTTGAGCGAGTTACGTGGAGTCAGGTGGATGTTCAAGCTGGCTGCCTGAAGCAGTTTGTCACGCTGCTGTGCGATAGGAACGCCGTTCGCGCCATGTAGGCTGCAATATCGAGGATGGCATGTGGTCAATACAGTAGAATTCGAAATCGGTTTCCATGTTCTGAGGACAGAAATTCTTCCGCGCACAGATGTTTGTAGATCCGGTTGCTGACAGGGTACATGACAAGACCCCGACGGTACCTTCTTGATGACCTCGTAAGCTGAAGTCAGAAATTGCTTTTACACTGTGTTCGTGCATTAGACCCATGTTGCATAATCCAACATCTATAAACGGCGGCGATTAGTGCAGTCTATATTTTATGCCACTTGATTACGCCCCCCCCCCCCTGCCTGTATACACAGAATTGGCTGTGTCGCTGTGTACATTTGCTGATCACTATGTGCCTGGGGTCAACCTCCTGATTCTGCTTTAGTCCGGATTACTCTGAATGTAGGCATCAAGATGTTTGTTTTTGACACCAAACTTCAGTTTTGCAACGATTTATCGCCTATTCTGGCTTCGATCGCACCGCTTGGGTTCCTATAACTATTATTTCTCCCGTGTGAAAGTGCCAAAGCACACCCTAACACAATGGAGGCTTTAATCTACGGGCTCGTCGAAAAGTGCCACCCCGGACAGGCTATCTCGAATCGCAGGAGCGCAGGTTCGTGTTGGTGATCCTCAATCTGCAAGAACACCGGTATCAGAATCCTAGTATCCCGCTGACAACCTTGCTAGGCACGATCATATCCCAATGCAGGCGAAGCGCGACCTGGTGACAGTCGCATTATGGCACCCAACATCGCTGCATCGCAGCATGAGCTGATCCGGGACATGATCCTTACTGGCGAGTTCACCAGTAACACCATAGCCGAGGCCGCAGGATGTAGCGGGCGGACGGTACGTAATATTCGAGCGAACCTTCAATGCTTTGGGAACACAAGAGCTCCTCTCAACGGAGTCGGACGCCCTAGGAGCATCACGCCGCCTATGCTGAGTGCTTTATGCGACCGATTGATTGAAAAGCCCAATCTCTACCAAGATGAGATGATTGTGTTTCTTTGGGACGAGTTCCAGACTCTAGTGACGGCTTCGAGCATTAGTCGTGCTTTGGCTTCAGCTGGTTGGAGCAAGAAAGTGGCCCGACGCGTTGCCCAAGAGCGAAACGCAGATCTGCGGGACTTCTATCTCCATGGGTTGTCGGCTTTCCGCTCCTATCACCTAGTCTTTGTGGACGAGTCAGGGTGCGACAAGCGCGCTGGCTTCCGGCGGACTGGATGGTCCCCTTTGGGAGTAACCCCAGTTCAGGTTGCTCGATTCCATCGCGACCGACGGTACCAGGTCTTGCCTGCCTACACGCAAGATGGCATCATCTATTCGCGTGTCTTTCAGGGCACTACCGATAGTGCGGTGTTCGAGAGCTTCATTGAGGAGCTCCTCCCTTTCTGTGGGAGATGGCCAGAGCCGAAGTCCGTAATCATCATGGACAATGCTTCTTTTCATCACTCCGAGCGGATTCAAGAGCTCTGTGCCAAAGCAGGTGTCATAGCCCATTTCCTCCCACCATACTCTCCCGACCTCAATCCGATCGAGGAGAATTTCGCCGAGCTTAAGGCTTTCATCAAGCGACACTATCAGCAGCACGACGGCCTGCCCGAAGCGGACTTCGCCGGCTTTCTGGAGTGGTGTGTCAAGACGGTTGGCGCTCGGAGGTCAAGCGCCAGAGGTCATTTTCGAAACGCCGGCATCTTTATTGAGGAGTCTTGAAGAGGTAGAAGAAAACCCCCATTCTAGAATAATACCTAAAGGACCTCGTACTCATGCGTGTGCTTCAACCCACTTTCCAATATCACGGACGAACCGTCGAGCTACGCCCACCTTGACGCCCTGTTCGATAAAAAAGTCAGGCTCTTGATCTTGGTGCACCTGCTCAAGATCAAGACCATGGTCGAGCGCAACACCGTATGCCTTCCAAAACTCCCTCTTGAGCGTCTCGCTCTCCACTTGCGAGCACTGCCATTCGCAGTACGATCGCACGGCCACATCTCTCGGCCCCGCGATTTCTAAGGCCAAAACAACATTGCAGCAGACAGGAGATGAGGCTGCGAGCGGAGTCGCAGCGCCCGCTGGAGACGCGAGCGGCGAGGAGCCCGGCATTACGTTGGTAATGTTGATCGGCGGGTAATTCCCTGCCGACGGAGAAGTGGTCTTGCGTTGTCGTTCTGCGTGTTGCTGCTCCTCGGCATACAGCTGGTCGCGGATGTCCTCGGGCATGTCACCAGGAATATTAAACACACCGCCTTGCTCTACGTGTCGAATGATGGCCCTAAAATGATGAGATCTCAGCTTGTAATGCTTTTTGCCCGCGCCAACATCGATCCAGCAGTGCGGCCCAAGATTGCACGGCGGTCCAGGACATCGCATCAGGGCGTAGACCCGTCGCCAGATCGACGCCTGACCTGTAGAGCTCTCTTCGGCATCGAGCTGAGCTGCCCGTTCCTGCAGTCTGTCCTGCGTAACAGAGGAGAAGCCACGCTTAGTGCCTCGCTGCACAGCAGTAGAGGACCCAGATTCCAGATAGTTGAAAGATATCTGGATCCTGAGTTCTCTCCCAGCACGGAAAAGATGGCTCCAAGCTTTGAGCTGTCTCTCCACGACAGGCCAGTCAATATCGAGCTCGTCGAATCGCTTGACAAGGTCACGTTGGGAGCGATCTCGCACGGACACGATTACGTTGGTATCATCTATGTTGAACGACTTGTTGGATGGCAGCTTCTTCTTCACCAGCTTATCGAGCTTGTGGTATAGGGTTTTTTCCCAAAAGGCATTCGGTGCAAGGACGAGGTCTGGTTCGCTATCTTTTGACACTACTCTGTTGTTTGCTGTCAACTTCCACTCAATAGAATAATGGATACATGTTGGTGGTTGCTCATCGTAGGTCTCGTTCTCGTCCCATTCAGTCAGCTGTAGCAAGGGAAGTTTGCCATTCAAAGCTGATGTGTGGCTCGGAGTTGGGCTTAGAGAGACTGTCTGAGCATCCTCTACGTCAATTACCACAGGGCTAGCGGTCATGCGTTGAGCGCCTCCGGCATGGCCTACATCTGGAACCGCGTCTATCGCATCGAAGTCTGGCCAGTCATATTCGTCAAACGACATGTCGAACGCTAGCGCAGGTGAAGACATATTGTTGGAAATGCTGGTCGGGGGAGGAGGTGGCTGGGTTGGTGTAGATGCGTCGTCTGCACGCGACGCTGGTCTATCTTCGGGAGTGACCTTGAAGGTGTCAAGTAAGATGACGTTCTAGAAGGTGCCATCAGTTGGCGAAATGACAGGGTTTGCAACTATGATCAGGTGGAAGCGCGGAACATAGATGTTGCGCCTTTGATTAGTGGGGTTAAACGGTGGCTTTCGCCAAGCAGTTGATTTTGGGGTTTCGTTTCAATAGCCTCGCTTCAACCACTGTCGCAAAATATACCTCTCTGAGAAAGCATATGTGCTGTTCAACTACATTGGCAGCAGCGACACAAAATAGGCCCCCGCTTATTCGAATGCTTCAACATTGACTATCACTTGCGATTACTTCGGGTCTGCCCTGAGAACCGGTTACGGCCTAGAAGATCAATACCCAGTCCCGGCTCTTTGTTGGCTCCGCCTCTCCAGTTCCACCGCCCTCGCTGATTCAGATGGCCCCTCATATGGTGATGACACCCGAAAGTTGGAATCTCCACGTGTCCCCGCCCTGCCTTCTGCGCTCGATCGCTTGGAGATTATAACCCTAACTCTCATGAACAAGGGCCATTCAACAAGGACGGATCGGGCCGAACCGAGACACGCCGTCATAGAACCACAGCCTCAAGCCCCGTTCCCACCGTTGAGAACCCTATCATTCAGCCAGTGCCGCCTATCGTGCGAGTACCTTGTCATTAACTGGTCTAGATGGCAGTTGCATCTGGTGCATCTCCAACCCTGTGGTTCGCTTTTATTCATACGAGATCGGCAGTCCGAAAGGCCTCGTGAGTTCCGCAGCAAATACAAAGCTCTGATTTCGTTGGTAGAAGTGGGGGTCATGCGACTCGCAATGCATGGAGCTCTTCTCACCTATTGTCCTACGGCTCCTACGGCTATTGGATTAGAGATGGGTTGCCGTTTTCTGGACACCCTGTTACCCATATCTGCGGCAACCAGCAGCTAATCACGCAAAGGCCAGCACTTAGTGCTTATCTTAGATGACTTTTGGTCCTGCAGGCTGCGACACTGCCACGCCACTCTGACCCCTCACGGCGAGGCTGAGAACATATTTCTCTCTATCTGCACCATAGTGTCCTGACGGTACACAGGAGCTTCCATAAAACGCAAGTTTTCAACAACACGTTATCTGCTACACCTCGCTTGGTCCCGTACTATTACACTGCCAACCTTTTGCTGGCATTCAACACTGAGACTGACGCGACATGGCCAAGTTCGTTCCCGCCCGCGACTTCACCATCGGCTGGATCTGCGCTCTGCCCATCGAGCTGGCAGCCGCATCCGAGATGATGGACGAGGAGTTCGCCGACCTTCCATCGCAACCGACCGATTCCAATCTCTACTCTTTCGGCCGGATCGGCGTCCACAACGTCGTGGCCGCCTGTCTGCCCGCCGGTCAGACGGGTACGAACCAAGCAGCTACGGTCGCTAGCCAGATGAGAAACAGCTTTCCCTCGCTGCGTTTTGGCGTTCTGGTCGGCATTGGCGGTGGCGTTCCGAACCCCGACGACGACGACTTCGACATCCGGCTCGGCGACGTGGTAATCAGCCAGCCGGCAGGGCAGCACGGCGGGGTGATCCAGTATGATTTTGGGAAGACTGGAGCCGAGGGTCGCATCGTTCGCACCGGCAGCCTCAATGCACCACACACGGTCCTCCTCAACGCCTTAGCTAAGCTCCGTGCCAATGACCTTCGGCGCAAGACACAAGTCCTCGAGCATCTGTCTCAGCTCTCTAGTCAGCCAGAGTTTGCGTCGCCGGGCCCTGAGAAAGACACCCTCTACGATGCATCATCGCCGCACATCGGCAGAACTACATGCGCACAATGCCATCCAAAAGACGCAGTGGACAGGGAAGCACGAGCAACGACAAAACCATTCCTCTTTCTTGGCAACATTGCATCTGGGAACCAGGTGATGAAGGACGGACTGACCCGTGACAGGTACAGTCGAGAGTTAGGAGGGGTCTTGTGCTTTGAGATGGAGGCGGCTGGTCTGATGAACAACTTTCCTTGTATTGTCATCCGTGGCATCTGCGACTACGCAGACGCGCACAAGAACAAGCGGTGGCAGCCCTACGCAGCGGCGACGGCAGCAGCATACGCTAAAGAACTACTAAACACCATCCCACCTCTGACGTCCAGTAATCTAAATAGGCCAGAGGATTGTAAGTACAGCACATAGAGTGGATCTAGATTGAAAGCTAAGAGTTTTAAACCTACTAGCTTGTCAGAAACCCCACTTCATCGTTCCATTCGGACGAAATGAAAACTTCGTTGGCAGAGATGCAATCTTGACGCGGCTCCTGGAGCGGATACCTCCGAGTACTAATAAAGACGACTGTCAGAGGACTGCGATTGTGGGCCTTGGGGGGATTGGCAAGACACAGGTCGCGATCGAAGTCGCCTATCGCGTTCGCGATGCACACCCAGACTGCTCCGTTTTCTGGGTTCCGGCTGTAAACACAGTCATGTTTGAAAATGCATATCGTGAAATCGGCCGGGCGCTCAACATCCAAGATATCGAGGATGACCAGGCAGATGTCAAAAGCTTGGTGAAGGCTACATTAGAACGTGATAATTCTAACAGCTGGCTTTTGATCGTCGATAACGCCGACGACACGGAACTGCTATTTACAAGCTCCAAACTAACGAGCTGTCTACCCTCTAGTCGTAAGGGCTCTATCCTGCTTACAACGCGAAACCATCAGGCCGCAGCAAGATTCAGTCGAAGTCTCTCTATGCGCCTAGTAGAGATGGATACCATGGAAGCCACTAATCTCCTATGCAAAGGCTTAGATGAGAGCCAGTTTAGCGACAGTCAAGGTACGACACAATTACTCGAATACCTCGCCTACTTGCCCTTAGCCATACGACAGGCATCGGCTTACATGTCTTCTAACCAAAACGTGACTGTATCCAAATACCTTGGATATTGCATGGCTAGTAACGATAAGCTGGTGAAGCTGTTGAGCAAGGACTTCGATGACCAAGATCGATACGAGGATATTCGGAACCCAGTGGCCACAACTTGGCTGATCTCCTTTGATCACATCTCAAGAGATAACAGACTTGCAGCAAAGTACCTCAGTTACATGTGTTATCTTGCAGAGAAAGATATCCCAAGAGCTCTTCTGCCCCCTGAGGAGGTTGAAATGGAAACAGACGACGAAATAAATGCCGATGAAGCGATAGGCACGCTGATAGCCTACGCCTTCATTCTCCAGCGGGATGCTGCAGATAGGTTTGATATCCATCGACTGGTGCGCTTAGTGATGCAAAACTGGCTAAGGGAGCAAGGGAGGGAAGAACAGCAAGTGACAGAGACAATTTACTGGCTTTGCGAGAGGTTTCCTTGGCCAAAGCACGACAATAGGGAAGTTTGGGTGGCCTACTTGCCGCATGCACAAGCGGCGCTTCAAGTGCAGAATTGGTCTACAGATGCTGAGTTGCTATGTGACCTGCTATCTAGTATAGGGCGAAGTAAGGATCTGCTTGGAAAATACAACGAGGCAGAGCAGATGCATCGACAGGCACTGGAGCTAAGGGAGAAGGTGCTGGGACCAAACCATCCCTCGACACTCATCAGCATGAACAACCTAGCAGAAGTGCTTCAAAGTCAGGGGAAGTACGGCGAGGCAGAGCAGATGCATCGACAGGCACTGGAACTTTATGAGAAGGTGCTGGGACCAGAGAATCCCTCGACACTCATCAGCATGAACAACCTAGCACTCGTGCTTCGAAGTCAGGGGAAGTACGACGAGGCGGAACAGATGCATCGACAGGCACTGGAGCTTAGGGAGAAGGTGCTGGGACCAGAGGATCCCTCGACACTCATCAGCATGAACAACCTAGCACTCGTGCTTCGAAGTCAGGGGAAGTACGACGAGGCGGAACAGATGCATCGACAGGCACTGGAGCTTAGGGAGAAGGTGCTGGGACCAGAGGATCCCTCGACACTCATCAGCATGAACAACCTAGCACTCGTGCTTCGAAGTCAGGGGAAGTACGACGAGGCAGAGCAGATGCACCGGCAAGCACTGGAGCTTTGCGAGAAGGTGCTGGGACCAAACCATCCCTCGACACTCATTAGCATGAACAACCTAGCAGAAGTGCTTCGAAGTCAGGGGAAGTACGGCGAGGCAGAGCAGATGCATCGACAGGCACTGGAGCTTTGCGAGAAGGTGCTGGGACCAGAGAATCCCGTCACACTCACCAGCATGAACAGCCTAGCAGAAGTGCTTCGAAGCCAGGGGAAGTACGGCGAGGCAGAGCAGATGTATCGCGAGACACTGGAGCTGAAGGCGAAGGTGATAGGAATATTTAAGGCTACCTAGTCACTGGTTCATGAACCCGAGAAGACGGACCACAACACCATGGGGTTGATGCGTACTACGCTCTAGAGTCACGCAAGCTGGACCAGTCGTCCAACGCGCGTTCACACTCCTGTCACCATACCTAAACCCCACGGAAAGAACAAGAGGCTCGACTCTCCTCCCGAAATGTTTGCATTAGTCCACCACGCGGTGCTTTGGCGAATATTGACGAGATGCGAAGACCTCTTTCTGTATGGAAGATCCATCGCACTGCTCGCGTCGTACTTCACGTCGTCCACTCAGGCGTGAAGCTGGCGTTACCCGCAGCCCGAAGGTGGCGTCAAGGTGAGAGAAGTATTATCGGACCTCCTCGTGCCCAGAAGATCTCTCTTTGAGATTGGAGTCTTCCCAAACCTTTGGTATGTACTGTAAGCTGAACTAGTATGACGGCGTGTCCGAGTCAGCCCGGGCTCCGGGATATCTGCTGTAGTGCTAGACGCCGCCAGTGCCGCTTCACAAGTAAGCCAATTTCTTTCATAGCTTCTCTAGCTTTGCTTTTATCTCCGCGTTCCCTTTGGTCAGGTTGCGAGAAGCAGACTCGGCCGCATCGCCAAAAGCTTGTGAGATTCATTTGTAGCTCCGCTTCCTAAGCCCATATGAATTGAACACTCACGCAGTGCATCCATGGCCAGTTGCTACCGCGTACGTCGAGACTGGGTTCGACTTCGCTTCTTTTCTGCGTCATGAAACGGGCAGTCTTCGCAGGCTCTTCGGACCATCACACTCGCCATCCGTGTTGTCGAGCTAGGCGAGTTTGTGAGACCACTTGCACGAACACACACTATTGACCATTGCAGCTTCCCACAGCTAGCCAATGCAAGCTCAATTGACAGAGACAATAGTTGCTGTAGGGCTGAAAGGGATCGAGACGCTTTAGGCCGCAGCTGGACAATAATTAAGATTGTAGGATCTCCTCATGGAATTGGGAAATCGGCTTCTCCAACTTTTGTCTTTTTTTCCAAATCTGCTAGTCTAAAATCATGTCTGTTAAAGCCCTTTAGGTCGCCCTCTCGGCGTCGAAACACACCTACTGGCCTTGCATCGATCGCACACTTGGGAATTCAGCAAGTAGTCCTCTGTTTGATTTGATTGACCCGGCGTGTCTGAACCTTCCTACCAATCTCAAAGAATTTCAACAGCGCACCAAGCAAAACTTCATTCACTTTCACGCCGCGTACGTTGTAATAATTACCTTCGGCCTCCTCGCAAACCATTAGCACATGATGCATGGAATGTGGGTTTCGATGAGATTATGGTCACTGCGAAGCATAATGTCTACAACGCTACAGTTCGCGATGATGTGCACAGTGCACGCCGCGTTGTTGGATGCGAAGACGAGACCGCTAGCGAAGCAACCATCATGAAATCGATTGTGGGTTCGATGACGTAGAAGGCGAACATTCCTACCAGTCTGCGTCGTAGCCTAACGTAGCGTCGTCTTTGAGTAGTTGGATGAGTGAGGGAACCCAATGAAAGCCGCGCTCTGAACAACCTGCGATCGGGTTTCCGACTTGCGGGAAAGGCTTGATAGACACCCAACGTGGAAGACGCGGCCCTTCTACTCATACGGGACTCTTTGATGAATCTGCCGTAGCTGACACACTCTTGGAAAGCACCTGGTTTCCTTCGCCTGTCTCCATACGGCGAGGACGGCGAGGAAGATACGGTTATTCTGTCACGCTTATTCCCGTTGCAACTTTCTCCTCCAGATTCTTGATATGTCACGGACTTTTTGGTCTCACACCAAAGCTACTGCGGTCGTTTACTCGGTCGGTCGAGGCATTCAATAGATCAAGCTGGGCTCACTTCGCTTCCGTTCGCTCATCATGATTTCCTTCCCCTTACAGGTACCGTTGTTAATCAGCATCTAACAAGCGGCAGCCTAGGTTGGTTCCGAGTCCATATGGCATCTATGTAGGTTTTTCAATTTCCGACGCGTCTCCTGATCTGACGGCGCTAATCCCCTTTAATTTTCTCCTTTAGTGAGCTTCATGCATACCCGCAGTTGCTGGCATCTTGGTGATACTAAGACTCTACCCTCCCTGGCCTGGCCAGACCAGCCATCCAAGCAGCGCCAGCCCCACCAGATCCTGAGCATATAAGTAGAGTGCATCCCCGAACAGACACGATTCGGTGCTGCCTCTCAGGATATCTACCATATCTTGACTTCTTCGAAGATGATAGAGGTATTCTCGGGGTCGAGGTCCTCATCCCCGTTGGTCATGGATGGGCCAGATGGATGGCAGCCAGGTCTCTTGTCTTCGACCTCTATTACGCAAGAAATGGAATCGGTAATTCCACCCGAGGTGAGATCTCTCTTCCCAGTCACTCCAATGACAATACTAACGGCAGGCCCATCAGACAGAATGGCAAGACGACGAATCCGATCCAGGCCTTGATGACGACCAGTGCTCGACTAAGTCGATGACTGCCGACGTTTTGGACTACGAACATCTACGTGGCAGAAGTTATCACAGTGATATCTTTAGTTCTACTTACTGGTACACGCAGCCGGAAAACACAAGTGACTGAAAACTAACGACTTTGCGCAGGGCCCCAAATGACGAATTGCAGAGTGAGGCGATGGGTCTTTGGTCAGAACAATCAAAATGTGTAACTCAGAGGAGCATAATGGCTAACTTATTTTCGTCAGCCACTCCCTGTTTTGCGAGGCTTCTAATGGAAAGCTCTTCCTCGCCGAGCTTCCAGACAACGCTCAGGTATCGTTGCTCCGGATCAAGCAGCTCAGCAAGTGTGCTCATTACTTCACAGAAAATCTTAGATGTTGGGACTGGGACAGGCGCGTGGGCTATGTATGGTCGTACACATCAAAAGCGTCGAGGAAGTAATGCTGACATTCGTACCTCAGCGAAGTTGGCGAAACTCATCCACACGCCCTCGTGGTTGGAATCGACCTATCACCGATTCAGCCTCAATATGTTCCGCCGAACGTAGAGTTGTCAGTGCAGCCTGCTCCTTGACATCACCAATTGGAATTTGCGAGGGCTCCTTTTTGCATGACAATGCTGACTTCTCTTTCAGCCAAATCGATGACTTCAACGAACCGTGGACATTCAAAGACAATTCTCTCGACTACATCAACATGCGGTTCCTGACTGGATCCGTTCGTGATTGGGAATTTTTAGTGGGTGAAGCCTATCGCTGCCTGAAAGAAGATGGGATTCTGGAAAGTTCGGAGCCATCATTTCTCATCGAGAGCGACGACGGCACGGTGGACCAGAGAAGTGCCTGGAATCAGTGGCACGGAGTCTTCCAAGAATATGGGGCCCAGATTGGACAGACGTTCTCTGTAGTACAAGAGGGCATACAAAGACGGGCTCTGGAAGAGGCACACTTCAGCGACATCCAGGAGTTCGACTACAAGGTATGAATTGCATCACTACCATCGGTGCTTGGAAAGAAGTTTAACATTTGATCTCAGATACCGATCGGGAGTTGGCCAAGAGATGAAGAATACAGATGGCTTGGACGCTGTGCGCAGTCAGCAATAGAAAAAGACGCCTTGGGGTTTCTTCTGCGACCATGTACGTCAGCTGGGTGGGATGTGGGACACATCGAAAAT